GGAAGTCCTCTTTCATGAGTCATTAAAAGTGGTGATCAAGGGCTGCGGATTTGGCTCAGTGGTTCCAGTGCCTGCCTCCCAAGTACAAGGACCTGAGTTCGATCCACGGTACAAAAAAACAAAACAAAACAAAAAAAAGCAGTGATCAAAAATCAGGGAGTACTACTAATAAGCTCTAGGCTTGTAAAAACATGACAGTTATCCTCAACTACACTGTTCACCAGATCTGGCACATTCAACTTATGGCTCTTCCCCAAGTAAAAAGACTATGAAAGGTAAATGGTTTCAATCAATTTGGGATACTGAGGCAGCCACAACAGCGCAACCAAACATACTCATGAATGAGAACTTCCAGAATTGCTTCAGAAAGTGACAGGAATGATAAGAGAAGTATGTTTGAAGTGAAGGGGAGTATTTTGAGGGGTGATTAACAATAATGTATCTTTTACTGTAATATATCTTTAAAATGTAAAAGCTGTATTTTTTTAAAATCATAACAGGCATGCAAAGGATGAAAATGGTCTATATCAGTTCCAAAAGACAGTCTTTGCAATTTTAACCCATTTGAATCCTCACTGTCAGTCAAAGGCAGGTAACTGCACAAATTTGAATGTATTTTTATAATCTTATGTTAAACAACAAAGATATTTAAAAATCCAAATGTATTATGAATCACTATAAATTGCTATAATGGAGCATTAATCTAATTATTAATTTCTACTGAAGGCTGAAAGTCTGCCTTATCAATTAGTATCATTGACCCAAAAATAGAATGAGGTAAAAAGAAAACACCAGTGATGGCAAACCTTTTAGAGTTTTCCATGATAACAAACTGTGGCACATATTCATAGTCTTGCCACCACTGGTATAGATGAACAGCATTTTTTTAAAAAGTGAGAAAATTTACATAATACAAAATTCACCCTATTAAGGAATACAATTCAGTGTTTTTTTAGTATTTTCATAAGTTTGGGCAGTCATCACTACTCTTTATTTCAAGAACATTTTCATTGCTTTAAAAAGAAATCTTGTGGGGCCGGGGATTTAGCTCAGTGGCTCCACTGCCTGCCTCACAAGTGCAAGGTCCGGAGTTCAATCCCCGGCACAAAAAAAAAAAAAAAAAAAGAAAAAAGAAATCTTGTATCCATTAGCAGGCACTCTCCATTCTCTCTTCTCCACAGTCCCTGGTAATCATTAATGTACTTTCTCCTTCAATGGATATGCCTATTCTGAACACTTCACTAAATGAAATCATACAATTTGTGACTTTTTGTGTCTGCCTTCATCCACACAGCTTACTTTCAAGAGTCACCCTGATCTAACAGGTCCAGGTAGTTAATTTGTATTTATGGTATGGATACATCATATTTTATCTATGATTAGTACACCTATGTAAATTAGTGCTCAGGATTATTCAAGATTCAATTTAAGATACAACACATCATTCAGACACTGATTTCTTTTTCTTTTCTTTTTTTTCAGACACTTATTTCTTGTCCCATAACACTGGATTCAACATTTTATTTAAACTCAATGTATAAATTACCCTATAGCCAGTCGTGATGCCATGTGCCTGAAGGGCAGTCCCAACTACTCAAGAGGCTAAGATGGGAGGATCACCAGAGACCAGAAGGTCCAGACAAGCCTGGACAACACAGAGAAGCCTCAGCTCAAAAACAAAAAAACAAGGGCCAGAGATTTAGCTCAGTGGCACTGCAGGTACAAGGTCCTGAGTTTGATCCGTGGTACAAACAAAACAAAACAAAACAAACTAATAAAAATTTATCAATATAATCTTCTCAGTATTGTGCCTTTTGAGTGCTTTGGTAAATATTTCTTGGATTTACCACCTAGCACCCTTTTTCTAAAAATGTCCCATTCTCCTCTAACTCTGTATTATCATTATGACCTTGCTCCTGTCTGTTGGCAACAGGCCCAGGAATATACTTGATTTTAGTGGGACCAACTAGTCCCTCACTGTGGATGCAGAACAGGGACTAAGATTCTATTTCTAATTACTGCTCTCTTGACTGGAGAACCTATAATTTCAGGAGGTTTGGCAATTACTCTTATCTGACACATGGACTAAGAAAGTGAGTAACAAGTTTGAAGAAAGAGGACAGGACAGAGAGATAGAAAAAAACAACAGAGATAAGAGTTGGAATACAGGGTTCCCTATGGTGTTATAGTCTGTTATAGTCTGCTATAGTTACAGCAATAGTCTGATATGGTCTGCTTATTCCTTAGGCCCATGTGCATCCCTGTCCCTGGAATCCACAGTACACCCTATACACTTACAATAAATCTCTCTTACTGTTTAAGTCAGCTGAGGAGGTATCTGTTATCTCCAGCCTCTACCCCTAATGTAATTATGTACCCAACACAATTTTAAGCTTCTTTCTAGGAAGGACCTCCCACAACAGTCATTATCAAACATATTCTTACTTAAATGACTCCCTACAAAATAATCTGGAAAATTATCTACAAATAATACTCAAGACATTCTTGGTTAAGTAGTAGAATTAAGACTTGTGTCTATTTTATTAAAAATCTATTTCATTGTATCACCAAATTGATGTATCACCCATTTTGCAAAAAATCATTTGAAGCACTCCAAAAATAATTTTTATTATACATGTCTTCTGCACTTGTTTTAAAGTCTTTTAAAAAAGAAAGTGTTACATTTTCCTAAGAAGATATGAATTTTTTTGAGAACGAGTAACTTCTATTTCCTTTTTAGGTCAACTCCTACAGAACTTACTAAAGAGTAACATCCGCACAGAAAGATAGAAAGAGTAAGTTGACGTCCCTGGATTCATTTTCTTATCCTGTAAACAGAACGCATTGTTGAACACTAATGATTCCCATAAGGATAACTCGTGTAATTAACCAACACCACACATATCTGATGATTACACAGTGCAGGCAGGTAGGGGCTGAAGAAATACTCCTTAACCCGCTCTACCGCCCAGTCTGAGGGGTGCCACTATTGCTGACCTCTACAATGTCAATTTCCTGCATGTTCCCAGGACTCTTCACTTCATATTTAGTCTTTTCCCCAAAATCAAATCCAGAATTTATCACCCAATTTGGTTCTTAGTGGGGATCACAGAGATAAAACCAAAAATCCAAACTATTTTCTTAAATCCCTATTACAAATTCAAGGGGGATGAACAGACTAATCCTTTAAAGTCTAAGACTTAGCTCCCAAGTGAATTTTTATCACACTGTTTAATGTTCCCACCTTCCCTAAGATATACTCAAAAAATTTAAATTAAATTTTTATTATTACAAGGTCTTAAAAACATAGAATCCCTTTGAAATTACAGTACTGAAGTATTCAATTTGGGTACAAGTCCTTACAACATCAAGCACTAGGTAGTCTCTCATGGTCTTAACCCCAATTTGCTTCCCTGAAGCCTGAGGGATTGTGTAGCCAAACCTCTGAAAGACAAAGTGCTCGACACCACTGTCCCTTCCAAAAAAACCCAGGCCTCTAAGTATAAAAATGGCTCACTGGAAGTTGCTAGTTTCCTTAGACTCACACTGTTAGGGCAGGAAGGGACATTAGAAATCTACTTTAACTTGATTCCTTTACAAATGAAAAAGATGAAGAGATAAAAAATCCAAATCCACCAAGCTGGCAAAACCAGCGTAGTTAGAAAAGGGTACTCAGGCTCCCAGCTAGAAACTCAATGATACCTACCTAAAATGCACGAATATTGCAGCATTTAAATCCCTCTGCTGTTTAAGTGGAAAAAAAAAAAAAAAAAAAAAAACCTACAACTTTCTGCTTTTGCAAGTCAGGATGAGAGGTGGAGATACATGACTTTTTTCTTAAATATCACTTAATAGTGCCACTGAGGTATAAATGTCATGGTGGACTGTCCCAGGAGGCTAAGGAAAATGAAACTGAGTACCAGCCCTTCCCTGCACCCCAAAGGTTTTTTAACCACAATAAGTGATGGCAGCAATTGATTTTATGTGTCCAAAATATCTCCCAGTACTACTTTTCCACCAAAAAAACCTATAGTTCCTTCACCAGAAGGGGAACCACCTACCCTAAGCCTGGCTAATCAAGAATCTTACAATACTGGCAAGACTGCGGCACCAACAACTATTGTAAATAAGGCCAACCAGAATCCTTCCCAAGAACTGTGTGTGGCACAGATACTGAGGAAAATGAACTTCCTCCCCATTTACCATCTGCAGTAGGAGAACCTACAACTAAAGTGCCAAGAAACAGAGATAAGCAGAGGTGAAAGATAGCAAGACTGGCAATATCAAGTCCTCAGTTCCTTTCATCTTATAAGTTAATCATCATATCTTTATCAGCTACAGTAACCAGTAAATTTCTTTTCTGCTTAAAATAGTGGTATCTCAAAAGTCCTAACCTATGTTCACTCCTGAACAGGATGAGAGTGTATGATACATACACCACCTTCACTGGTTTCATTATATGGCCCCGAAAACCTCTGAGTTTGCCAACATCTGTCTTACCCTTTATAACTTATGCTTTTAAAAATGTGTTTTAATTTGTATGGCTTTAAATAGATTCTGCCGCCATACTGATCAATCCTAATGTTCTATTCTCATCAACTACACTTTCTATTGCATGATGCCTGAAAGAATCTGAGTGTGAGCAATATCTCTAGGATAGTACTAGGATATTTTTTTGGGGGGTACCAGGGATCTTACACAGGACCTTGTGCTTGCAAGGCAGGTGGTGGAACCACTGGCAGTCCTAGGATTTTTAAAGTCCTAATACAAACTATAATTTGATTTCCAGTAAAAGTGAAATATAAAATATCAGTAATAAGTTAAATAGAATTTTCTTATCTAGAACATCAAAAAGATCCAAGAGGGATTAACATAATATGCTATGAGACAAAATTTCAAAACTTAAAAGAAAATCCAGCAGAGATATGGCTACTTCAATATAATTTAGTAGCATGTTTTTTCTACTTGGTAATGACTGTAACAGCAAATCTCAAACCTACCTCCAGTAAGGCTCCAGTTTGGAAGAATTTCAAAGGCTTTTCTATTGAATAATAAAGGCTATGGTAGCTTCCTTTAGCCAGATAGGCTCTGACCAGACCAACTGCTATCACCAGCCACCTAATAAAAAAGAGAAAAAGAGCAATCAGGAAAATAAATAAATTTAAAAAAGAAAGATAAATAGGTCTCAAGGGAATAGAAAAATGTGGCAATAACAGATCACGCTAAAGATGACTTCAAGAACTAGTGATCTTGAAATGTTATTACAAGTCTTACATTTAATGTCTTACATGTTCTCAAGAGACCCATGTGTGGAGATGTGGAGAAGTGGTGGAGCTTTCTTTAAGAGGTGGGTCCTTGTCACTGGGCTATGCCCTGGAAGGGGATATGGTAGTTGGGCCCTTTCCCTCTTTCTTTTGCTTCGTGGCTGTGAGAGGAGCACTGTGCTGATGCCACAGACCCAAAGCAGCAGAGCCATCAAACTACAACCTCCAAAACTGTGAGGCAAAATAGACATATTCTCTGTATAAGCTTATTATCTCAGATTCATGTTACAGTGATGGGAAGGTGACTAACATTTCAACTGTAGCTTCCAAAGGCCAAGTTGTAACACACATAAGTGTTGTTACACCATCACTATCGAGAGGGCTTGGAAAAGCCAGTGGCCTTTTACCCATCTGGGCCTTGGATTTTTGGCAAACCTGCCACCTGAAAACAAGGCCAAAATAAAGAAAACAAGCTAAATTAGTCCTTGTGATGATAAATTAGATGCCAGAAAGTCTGACAAGAGGAAAAAAATTGTTCAAGGAAAATTTTAAATGGACCATGCAGTTAAAAGGTCTATAATAATAACAAAACATGTTTTAAACTATTCTTATAAGTGTCTAACAGTAACATGCTCATACCTTAACATTTATCCTTTTAAAACTGCAAATTTTTTAAAATAAAGTGTTTTAGCTTAATTTTCCAGATAACACAGAAAATACAAATCTATGGGTTTATTGATTAGAAAAACACAAAACAGGAAAGTACTCAGGCATAAAGCTGTGAATGCTACTTTTCTAGCAAAGGAGAAATACTGGGCTATGTTATGTTTTATTTATTCAGTTCCATTATGCCTTTTATGATTAAGGCAGGTCTCTTGGAAAGCAGTTATAGATTTACCTGATGTGTAGTCCTAAGTAGGATATGGTGTATGTGGTTAATGTTATTTCTACAAACTATCATACAAAGGTCAAATGAGTTTTAAAAAAAAAAAAAGAATTTGTTAATGTGTAATGGCACAGTCTTAGAGAAATATATTACTGCTTTAATTTATCAGCAGTAAATTAGAGCATAACTTTACTCCCACAATCCCAACTTCTCTTCCTGGCTTAAGACACCACTCCTTACCCTCCACCTCATTCTCTATGTTCCTTATTTAGGAACAAATACTTCTCTTCTTCCCCACTGTACCTTAAAATCCATTTGCAGTGCAATGTCCTTATCAACACCCTTGCCAGTATTGTAGATAGGTAAATTAATTAGATTATCTTGTAGGCAGGTAGACAGGACCAAGGTGCCAGCCCTCAAAGCCCTAGTCCTCAAGGAGCTAACATGGAGAATTGAGTCACAGTCACTATTTAGCATTATAGAAAATAGAAGAGGTACTGCTTCCCCAGAGATAGATAACAGTGATTGATACTTTAAATGGGAAATTTCTTGTTCTCCCATTTGATCCCCATTTAATCAATATTACCTTGGTGACTGTACTCATAATCTTACTGGTTGGTCATGGTTTTGTCCCACCTCAGGCCCACCTTGTAATTTTCCACTGGGTCTTTCCATTTTTGTCCCACTTCATACATGCCTCCCCTCAAGGTTTTGCCGCATAAAACACATTTGAAAAGTGGGGTGGGCTGGCAACCCATTTTCTGGTCCCCCTTCTGTATCTCTTAGAAGCTTTCTTTCTCCTAATAAATTTTTCCTACTCTTAACCTCTGTTGTTCCTACAATTTACTCTTCGATTTAGAGAACACAAACTCTCACTTCAGATATCTAGAAGGTTTGGAAGTTACAACTATTCCCCCTATATTACTAGGTCAAGAATTTTACATATGAAACACAGCTTCTTGAATGTTCTTTTAAAAAATCAATCTATGTGACCACTTAAGTGATGGAAAACTTGTGCTTGAGTTAAGAGAAATAGGTTCCAGAACCATTTCTAATATAAGCAATAAGCCTATGCACCTCACAGATTTTTTTTTTACATGCAAAAAGCAAGGTGCTGAACTGTACAAATGTATAGCATTTGTGTTTATATATATTTTAGAATGTGCTTGTTATCCGCATTTTAGGACACACACGGGGTCTGGTGGAAGGGACAGGTGGGAGTTAAGATTTTCACTGTATACCTTTGAGTGTATTTTGAATTATACCAATGTATTACCTTAAAAATCAATTAAAGCTGGATGTTCATTATACAGTTCCCCAAACTTTTCTGAGTTTTCATAATAAAATTTTAGAGAAATCGCTTTTACAAATGAATACATTTCACAAATTCATAACAAATGGTCTAATCTCACCAAAACATGAGATCAAAGAATTGCAGAGCAGCAAGAACCTTGGAAATCATCTCACCCAACTCTTTAGTTTTTACAAGATGAAAAACGGAGGACTGGAGAAAGAAACCAATGTACTCAAAAGTCACATGGCTAGTCAGTGTCAGAACTAGAACTAAGAACCTGCTGAGATAAAGGATGGGCTGAAATGAGACAGAAGGAACGAAAGTGTTTGGAGGGACGCTTCCCTTTCCCCAGTAACTCTGTCTTCCACTCCCTAGGCTTTGCTCCACCTCAACCCCAATCCAGCCCGAAAACTCTAAACTCATCTGAAGCTCATGTCGCTGGCCAAAAACTTTGAACACCTTCACACCACCATTCCGATTCAAGCTCAGCCCAGATTTTGAAAACGGCCGCCTAAATGAATGGCACTCTGCAGCCGTGCACCCCAGGGCCGGGTAGTTCGCCCCACACAAACCTGTGGCGGGTCCCGCGGTGCTCGCGAGGCCTCCCCGCGCCCTCGCAG